TGCGACGGAGGTGTAAACTTATGTAAATTTGTGTAAATATATGTAACCTTGTGTAGGTTTTTGTAAATTTCTTTTAAAAATTTACTTGGACTTGTGTAAAATTACATAGATTACAACCCATTGATGACTACAAATTCTTATATCTAAGATGTATTATTCACGTGCCAAGTATCTAATATGGATGAAAGAACCTCACTTATTCATTTTATAGTTAGCAAACTAAAATAGTGAGTCTATTCTAATTTCGTAATTATGTAAATCATGCTATATTACGTTTGGTAATAAAATTAATAAAATATAGTAATTAATATCGTTATTAATTTTATAATTTTTTTTTTTTTAATATTTTAGAGATAGTTTCTTTTCTTATTAATATAGCGATATCTTTTTATAATCATTGTCCATAGATAGTTGTAGTATATCAATAATATAATTTTCTAAAGAGCAACCTACTAACTGAATTAAAGAGATGATTATAGTATTTTTGAGACTTATGACGTTATTAAGATACAATATTTTGAATTTGTATTTGTATCATTAATAATAAAAGATTTACCATAAGAGCTTAAATACTAGTATATTATTTTGAAAGCATTTAAGGAAATAACAAAACAATAAAATATCAATAAAATTAGAAAGAATAGATGTTAAAATGAACGGAAACTTTAATTCAGTTAAGTATGATAATTTTTATTTATCAGCACTCAAAATTTTGTTATTTTCCCTTCGTTAAACATAATTAATTTAACGATTGTTATATTATAAATGAGTTCATTCATAAATTCCCTTTACTTAATAATAACAAAATTTTTTTTTAGTTACATATTGTATTTATTTATTGAATCTTAGTTTGAGAAAGGTATAACAATCATAGAGAATATTATTGTTAGAAAAGCTTGCATTATGAATAAACATAATTAATAACATAATTAAAATTACTATCATATCAAAAAATTTTTTATAAAATATTTTATCCAATTGCTATCAGTTGTATGTACAGTAATTTGTACAATATACTAATTGTAATAACAAAAGATAATCAAATAGTAATTTTGATACTAGAAATGATCCATAAAGAATTTTTGTGAAATTTGTATTATAGGATATTTTATTTAATTTCTGTATTCCTAAATTTCCGTCATAACCTATAAAAAAGAATTTCTTAGCGAGATTTATTCGTGACTTTGTGATCATCAGCTGATTTTTTAACGTCTTTGTTTGACCTAAATTAAGATTTGTCGATCGCTGCCGTGCAACTGTAATACGTAATATAAGGTTGCGCCCCTTTTTTTTTTAAAAAAAATAAAAATCCTTTTACTCTGTTTAAACATAAAGCTGATATGGAAGAATTTAAGCTCAGTGATGATGTATTTGAGCAAATAAAAGATTTTAACCCTTGGATATTAACAGATGAACAAAAATTGTTAATTGATAAGCTAATATTAAATGAAGAATTAAAAGAACGTTATAAAAATAATGGTTTATGCAAAGATTGTAAGCAGCCTAAAATTACTTTGAATTGGTGTCAATGTAAATTTCAACAAAATTTCAAAAATTGGACTAGTGGAAATGATGAAGTTGATAAGTTTATTCAAAAAATACAACTTAAAGCTACAGAATTTAGGGAAATATTAGAGTGGATTGAATATGATAGATTTGAAAATGTTGAATATTTGGCCAAAGGAGGATTTGGAACTATTTATAAAGCAATTTGGAAAGATGGATGTATAGAAAATTGGGATTCTGAAAATAATCAATGGAAGAGAATAAAAACTTGGGTAAGCCATAAAAATTTTCCAGTTGCTCTAAAATGTTTACACAATTCTCAGAATATTACATCCGAATTTTTAAGAGAAGTAGGTTACTTTTTGTGCTGTATATAATTTTCAACTAGAGGTTGGAACCGGTTAAGCTTAACCGGTTAATTAACCGGTTAAAACGGTTAACTGGTTAAAACATTTGTTAACTGGTTAAAAAACAATTTTTAACCGGTTAAATTATCCGGTTAAATTATCCGGTTAAATTAATTGGTTAAATTAATTGGTTAAATTAACCGGTTAAAATGCGTAATTCTGGCCAATTTTACAGTGCCGGCCAGAATTATAAATCACGGGACTTCAGATAAAAGTTTAGCCACCAGGTAAGGAATTTTTTGTGTTATATATGCGGGCTGAAATTCATAGTGCCGGCCAGACAATTTTAGCCTGAATTTCGTCTTTCAGCTAGAGTTTCGTTTCGATTGTTAGAGTTTTGGTCTGGCCTAATTTTGGCTGGGATTAAAAATATATTTGATGCTAATCCTGGCCGAATTTTAATTCTGACTAGGATTGAGTTTTAACCGGTTAATTAACCGGTTAAAGGTTTGGTTAACCGGTTATTAACCGGTTAAGACTTTTTGGACCGGTTCCAACCTCTATTTTCAACTACTGTTCCATTATAAAGGTTAAACTTACTATTATTTATATTATGGATTCTTTTTTAGATTGAATCACATAATACAATTGTTTCAGATTATGTAACTCGATGCTTTGGCATTACTAAAGATCCAGAATCTAATAATTTCATGATGGTAATAGAATATGCAAAGGAAGGTAGTTTAAGACAATATTTAAATAATATATTTAATTCAATGAAATGGGAAGATAAGTTGGACAATTTAGTAAAAATTGCAGCTGGCCTCAAATCTATTCATGAAAAAGGATTAATTCATCATGATTTTCATTGTGGTAATATGTTAAAAGGTGGTAATTATACTATTATTACTGATTTAGGATTATGCCAACCAGCAAATGTAAAATCTTCTCAAAATAATGAATGTGAAAAAAAAGTATATGGAGTATTACCTTATGTAGCGCCTGAAGTTTTAAGAGGAGGAGAATATACTCAAGAAAGTGATATTTATGCATTTGGAATTATTGCATATGAAGTCTGTACAGGGCTTCCTCCTTATCATGATATTGCTCATGATAAATTCTTAGCTATTAGCATTTGTCAAGGGGTTAGACCAAAATCTAATTATAAAATACCTCAGCTAATTTTGGACATAATTAAACAATGTTGGGATGCAGATCCTTCAAAACGACCTAAAGCACAAGAGTTATATAAGTTAGTAGATAATTTATATGATCATGGTTTTGCAAAATATAAAGGTGAAATAATCAAAAAGCAAGCTGAAGAAGCAGATAAAATTAATGAGAAGTTTACTTCTACTTCATTACCATATAATGGTACTACTCTTTCATATACTACAAATCCTCAAGCAGTTTACACGAGTAGGCTTTTAAACTTTAAAAATCTTCCAGAACCAAAAAATGCTATTGATAACAAAGTTGATGTTGGAGAATATTCAGGTAATTAATATATTGACTTATTTTTAATACAAAAAATATTTTACAATTATTTTTTATTTTCTAGAATCTATAGAAGCAATAGATTTCACTAAACTCAACCTAGGTACTCATTTACATTAACTTGCTTTCTAGTACATGATTAATTTTACCAACAATATTAACAATTTACTTTAATAATTCGTTCCTATAGATGAAAACAACTAAAGAAAACGGAAAGGAAGAAAATTTACAAATATTCATAATATAAATTTCATTATTTGTATTTTTTATTACTACTACTACAATATATATATTTTATTGGAATATTTATTATGATTAAAATCTTATACTAAATAAAGTTTTTATAAATTTAAACTGAAATCAAATAGAATGCATTATATAACTATTATATATGTAGTATGTTATAAAATTATGTCAAATTGTCAAAGTATGTTGCTGAAAGTGATAGAGTTTCTTCAGTTTAATTTATGTTTTACTACCTTTGAAAAAAAATAGGAGTGTATGCGACGGAGGTGTAAACTTATGTAAATTTGTGTAAATATATGTAACCTTGTGTAGGTTTTTGTAAATTTCTTTTAAAAATTTACTTGGACTTGTGTAAAATTACATAGATTACAACCCATTGATGACTACAAATTCTTATATCTAAGATGTATTATTCACGTGCCAAGTATCTAATATGGATGAAAGAACCTCACTTATTCATTTTATAGTTAGCAAACTAAAATAGTGAGTCTATTCTAATTTCGTAATTATGTAAATCATGCTATATTACGTTTGGTAATAAAATTAATAAAATATAGTAATTAATATCGTTATTAATTTTATAAATTTTTTTTTTTTAATATTTTAGAGATAGTTTCTTTTCTTATTAATATAGCGATATCATTTTATAATCATTGTCCATAGATAGTTGTAGTATATCAATAATATAATTTTCTAAAGAGCAACCTACTAACTGAATTAAAGAGATGATTATAGTATTTTTGAGACTTATGACGTTATTAAGATACAATATTTTGAATTTGTATTTGTATCATTAATAATAAAAGATTTACCATAAGAGCTTAAATACTAGTATATTATTTTGAAAGCATTTAAGGAAATAACAAAACAATAAAATATCAATAAAATTAGAAAGAATAGATGTTAAAATGAACGGAAACTTTAATTCAGTTAAGTATGATAATTTTTATTTATCAGCACTCAAAATTTTGTTATTTTCCCTTCGTTAAACATAATTAATTTAACGATTGTTATATTATAAATGAGTTCATTCATANTAATTTTTATTTATCAGCACTCAAAATTTTGTTATTTTCCCTTCGTTAAACATAATTAATTTAACGATTGTTATATTATAAATGAGTTCATTCATTAAATTCCCTTTACTTAATAATAACAAAGTTTTTTTTTAGTTACATATTGTATTTATTTATTGAATCTTAGTTTGAGAAAGGTATAGCAATCATAGAGAATATTTTTGTTAGAAAAGCTTGCATTATGAATAAACATAATTAAAATCATAGTTAAAATTGCTATCATATCAAAAAAATTTTTTTATCTCCCTTGGGACTAGCTTCCGGTGATAAAAAAGGGGAAATTAGCGATGCAAACCTTCTTGTTTCTCCTAAAATATTTTATCCAATTGCTATCAAGTCTATGTACAGTAATTTGTACAATATAATTGTAATAACAAGCGATAATCAAATAGTAATTTTGGTACTAGAAATGATCCATAAAGAATTTTTTGTGAAATTTGTATTATAGAGTATTTTATTTAATTTCTGTATTCCTAAATTTCTGTCAGAACTATAAAAAAAAAAGAATTTCTTACCGAGATTTATTCGTGACTTTGTGATCATCAGCTAATTTTTTAACGCCTTTGTTTTAAAGATGGTCATCGGTCTCTCCGGTCCTACATGCAAAAAGACCGGACCGCGTAGGACCGCAGTTTTTTGCCGTCCTCGTGATCATCCGATGGATCAACAAGACCGATGGTCTTTTTTAGGACCGCAGTCTTCAAAAGACCGACCAATATTATTAATACTTATTTGTTTTATTAATCACCTACTGACTATTTTTTTTATATTTTTATTTCTTTATTTTAGATTTCTTTATAGTCCCGTTCCTACTACTAAAAAAAGTACTACCTTCTTAGTATATAGTATAAGTATATTATTTTTTTTTTGTTTAATACAAGAAACATTTACTAGAGTAATAATAATAAAAAAAATTTATAAGATGGACCGATGGTCTTTTGGTCAGTCTTAGGTCAGTCCCCAAAACGGTCCTACTGCGCCACAAATAATCAGGACCGTGGTCCGGTCCTACGAAGACCGGGACCGGTTGAGACCGGACCACGTAGGACTGAGTATGACCGTTGACCATCTTTACTTTGTTTGACCCAAATTAAAATAAGATTTGTCGATCACTGTTGTGCAACTGTAATACGTAACATAAAGCTGCCCCTTTTTTTTTCCTTTTTTTTTTTTTTTAAAAAAAAAAAATCCTTTTACTCTGTTATTTAAACACATAAAGCTGGCATGGAAGAATTTACGCTCAGTGATTATGTATTTGAACAAATAAAAGATTTTAATAATCGGAAATTAACAGATGAACAAGAATTGTTAATTGATAAGCTAATATTAAATGAAGAATTAAAAGAACGTTATAAAAAGAATGGTTTATGCAAAGATTGTAAACAGCCTAAAACTGATTCGTATTGGTGTCAGCTATGCAATGCCACACGTTTTCAACAAAATTTCAAAAATTGGACTAGTGGAAATGATGAAGTTAATAAGTTTATTCAAAAAACACAACTTAAAGCTAAAGAAAATAAGGAAATTTTAGAGTGGATTGAATATGATAGATTTGAAGATGTTGAATATTTAGCTAAAGGAGGATTTGGAACTTTTTATAAAGCAACTTGGAAAGATGGATATATAAATGGATGGGATTCTGAAAATAATCAATGGATGAGAAGCAAATATTTGGATGTGAATTACGAAAATTTTCCAGTTGCTCTAAAATGTTTACACAATTCTCAGGATATTACATCCGAATTTTTAAGAGAAGTAGGTTACTTTTTGTATATAACTTTCAAACTACTGTTCCATTATAAATGTTAAACTTACTATTATTTATTATTATGGATTTTTTTTTAGAATGAATTACATATTATGATTAATTCAGATTGTGTAACTAAATGTTTTGGTATTACTAGAGATCCAGAATCTAATAATTTCATGATGGTAATGGAATATGCAAAAGATGGTAGTTTAAGACAATATTTAAATAATATATTTAATTCAATAAAATGGGATGATAAGTTGGATATTTTACAAAGGATTGCATATGGTCTCAATTCTATTCATAAAAAAGGATTAATTCATCATGATTTTCATTGTGGTAGCATGTTAAAACGTGGTAATGAAACTATTATTACTGGTTTAGAATTATGCCAACCAGCAAATGTAAAATCTTTTCAAAATGAATATGAAAAAAAAGTATATGGAGTGTTACCTTATGTAGCACCTGAGGTTTTAAAAGGAAAAGAATATACTCAAGAAAGTGATATTTATGCATTTGGAATTATTGCATATGAAGTATGTACAGGGCTTCCTCCTTATCATGATATTGCTCATGATAAAATCTTAGCTATTAGCATTTGTCAAGGGCATAGGCCAAAATCCAATTATAAAATTCCTCAACTAATTTCGGACATAATTAAACAATGTTGGGATGCTGTTCCTTTAAAACGACCTAAAACACGAGAATTATGTGATTTAGTGGCTAGTTTATATCGTTCAAGTAGACATTCAGATGATCATAAGATCAAAAAGCAAATTGAAGAAGCAGATAAGATTAATGAAAAGTTAACTTCTACTTCATTATCATATAATGGTACTTCTCTCTCATATACTATAAATCCTCAAGCAGTTTACTCAAGTAGGCTTTTAAACTTTAAAAATCTACCAGAACCAAAAAATGCTATTGATAATAAAGATGATGATAATTCATTTGAAGAATATCAGGTAATTAATGTATTAGCTTATTTTACAAAAGTATTCTTGAAATACTTTTAATTTACAATTATTTTTTTGTTTTTAGAATCTACAGAAGCAATAGATTTTACCAAACTCAACCTAGGTACTTATTTGCATTATCTTGCTTTCTACATGATTAATTTTACTAACAATTTACTTTAATTCATTCTTATAGACGAAAATAACTAAAGAAAAACTAAGAAAAAGAAGAAAATTTACAAATTCATAATATAAATTTCATTATTTGTATCTATTATTTACTATTTTTTTTATTATTACTACAATATATATTTTTTTATTGGAATATATTTATTATGATTAAAATCTCATACTAAATAAAGTTTTTATAAATTTAAACCGAAAACAAATAGAATGCATTATATAACTATTATATATGTACTAGTATGTTATAAAATTATGTCAAATTGTCAAAGTATATTGCTGAAAGTGATAGAGTTTCTTCAGTTTAATTTATGTTTTTACTATCTTTGAAAAAAAATAAGTGTGTATGCGACGGAGGTGTAAACTTATGTAAATTTGTGTAAATATATGTAACCTTGTGTAGGTTTTTGTAAAAATTTACGTGAACTTGTGTAAGTAAAATTACAGATTACAACCCATTGATGACTACAAATTCTTATATCTAAGATGTATTATTCACATGCCAAGTATGTAATATGGATGAAGAACCTCACTTATGCATTTTATAGTTCTGTAGTTAGCAAACTAAAATAGTTTTTTTAATTTTATAATTAGTATGTAATTATGATAGGTTGCGTTTGGTAATAAAATGTACAGTAAATAATATCGTTTTTACTTTATTTAAGAAATTATAATTTTTTTAACACCTTATTAATATAGCAATAACTTTTCTCTATAAAAAAAATTCTGGAAAAAAAATCCAACAAATGATCATTTTTCTAGTTTTCATTCCAAAGAAACTCAGACGCATGTTTATGGGTTTTATAATCATTGTCCATAGATTGTTGTAGACTGTAGGCTTTGCTGAAACTTTCAATTTAGCAACTTTAATATTGCTAGCATGCGACTATATGACCATTTAGTTTCTTTATTCATGGGAATTAACAGAAGAACAAAGCTTGTTAATTGATAAGTTAATATTAAATGAAGAATTGAAAAAACGTTTTAAAAATAATGGATTATGCAAAGATTGTAAGCAACCTAAAGCTTCTCGTAATTGGTGTCAATGTGAATTTCAACAAAATTTCAAAAATTGGACTAGTGGAAATAATGAAGTTGATAAGTTTATTCAAAAAGCACAACCTAAAGCTAATAATAGTAAAGAAATTTTAGAGTGGATTGAATATGACAAATTTGAAAATGTTGAATATTTGTCCAAAGGAGGATTTGGAACTATTTATAAAGCAATTTTGAAAGATGGATTTATAGAAAAATGGGAATCTGAAAATAATCAATGGAAAAGAAATAAAATGATATGGGGCAATATTTATGAAAATTTTCCAGTTGTTCTAAAATGCTTACATAATTCTCAGGATATTACAGCTGATTTTTTAGGAGAAGTAAGTTACTTTTTTGTGTAAGATATTGTCCTTTTATAAATACTAAACTTACTATTATTTTTTTATTTATAAATTCATTTTTAGATAGAATCACATACTATTGCGAGTTACAATCATAGTTATATAGTTCGATGTTATGGCATTACTAAAGATCCAATGTCTAATGATTTTATAATGGTAATGTTCTATGCAGAAATGGTAGTTTAAGACAACTTTTAAATGATAGTTTTAATTCAATGAAATGGGAAAAAAAATTGGATATTTTAACAAGGGTTGCAAGTGGACTTAAAAATATTCATGAAAAAGGATTAATTCATCATGTTTTCATTGTGGTAATATATTAAATAGTGTACGTAATTTAACTTTTATTACTGATTTAGGGTTATGCCGACCAGCAAATGTAAAACCTTCTCAAGATGAATATAAGAAAATATATGGAGTACTACCATATGTAGCACCTGAGGTTTTAAGAGGAAAAGAATATACTCAAGGAAGTGATATTTATGGATTTGGAATTATTACATATGAAGTCTGTACGGGACTTCCTCCTTATCATGATATTCCTCATGAAGTATCCTTTGCTATTAATGTCTGTCGGGGACTAAGGCCAAAAACTAATTATAAAATTCCTCAAGCAATTTTGAACATAATCAAAAAATGTTGGGATGCAGATCCTTTAAAACGACTTAAAGCACAAGAGTTATATAAGTTAGTAGGTAATTTATATGATGATTTAGTAAAATATGATGGTTAAATAATCAAAAAGCAAGCTGAAGAAGCAGATAAAATTAATGAGAAGTTTACTTCTACTTCATTACCATATAATGGTACTACTCTTTCATATACTACAAATCCTCAAGCAGTTTACACGAGTAGACTATTAGACTTTAAAAATCTTCCAGAACCAAAAAACGTCATTGATAATAATGATAATAATAATTTATTCGAAGAATATTCAAGTAATAATTAATAACTTAATTTATATTATTGAATTTAATTATGAAATAATTTTTAATAAATAAGCATTTTTTTTATTCTATAGAATCTCTTGAAATAGATATTAAAACACTTAACTTAGGTACTCATCTAAATTTAATTTGTTATATGATTTTATCTTATTATTGATAATATTAATAATCACTTTAATAATTCATTTATAGATAAAAACTGAATAAAGGAAAGGAAAGAAAGCTTTCAAATATTCAGAATATGAAATTTATTTATTTAAAACTATTGTTTACAATTTATTTTTATCATTATTTATATTTTATTGAAATGTTTTTTTACAAACTTTATCATATTGTGATAACCTTTTTAGTGAGATTTCTAACATTTCTTTAAAGATGATACTATAGTAATATTCTTATTATTCCATAAGACTAATATTGTTAGGCATAATTTACCATGTTATTTTTTATAGTATCTTCTCATTTATGATAATAAATGAATTAGAAAATGATAAGCTGCTGACTTATTATCAATTGTTAGAGGGTTCCAATTTTTTAATTAATAATGGTCGTGATAACATTATAGGAAATAATTTCATACTTTTCCTTATGAATCATAATTAAAATTATCTTTTTTTTTTAACGCCCTAAAATTGTTATATACGTTACACGATCTATATGACAGAGCGCAGCATGCCAGTAGCATGTCTATCATTTTATTCATGTGCTCGAAATTAAACAATCCACATTTATATGCTTAATTATACTCTTTTTTTTTTTAAACTGTAACGCATTTCTTTATTAAGGATAGAAATCCAATTTCGGAAATACCTAGAACCGTTCGTGCAACACGAAACGTATCCTTTCCATATACAGATTTCTTATAGGGCTGTATAAGCGTAACAAGACGTATTAACGTAGATACTAAAGTTAAATATTTTACAGGAATATATTGTATTAAATATATTAAAATGGATTTCATGATATAATAGTATAAGTTACTGTATTTATAAAGTGTAATTTGACAAGCAGTCTTTTAAAGGTTATAATGTAAAAAATAGAATTTTAAAGAAATCAGAAATTTTTTACAAATAAGGCAAAAGAAATTATTAAAATACATTGTAAATAACGATGTTGTAAAGGACGGATTTTATTTATACTGCGGATTTTAATAACTTACACGACGATGTTAAAAAAATTAAGTTTGTTATACAGTATTATTTTAAGCCTTTATTATTTCGAATCATTGATAATATATATTTAGTTTTTTTTTAAAAAAATAATCAATTAATAAAAGAATTTTTACGTTAACTAATCATTATCATTGACATAATCGTAGGAATCGAATAATTAAAATAAGGCAGCGTTAAATCTAATTCCAAGTCATAAAGTACATATAGTCATATACTATATATGTAATAAACCCAAGTATTTTTCTTATGTTAAAAAAATCATTTTAGGAATATTTTGAACATTTCATTTTATTAAAGTGAATAAATCGCCTTGAGATACTTTTAACAAATATATTAAACTATATTTAAACTCGCGTTCTTTATGTCAATAATAATGCCGAAATCAATTTACAAAGTTCTTTGCATATTTGAATTGTACAAATATTTACTGTATTCAAAATATAATGATTTAAATTCAAAACTTTCAAAAGGAATGTTCGTCTTAAGCTTCTTTTTTAAATTTGATACTTGTAAGGCCATAAAATTATATTCAGTAGATTTGAGAAATAATTAAATAGTCGAATTTAGAAATTCCAAATAGGTGATTTATCTGGTATTCCTTGATTATGCATTAAATTAAACTTTATTAAGCTTTTTTTTTACATCTAAATTATTTATTTATTTCTTTCTTTCTTCTAGTTGTAATATTTATATTTTTTATTTATTTATTTCTTTTTTTGTTCTAAAATAAGTTCATTTAAATACACTTAAAATTAGCACGCAATATATTTTTTTTGAAAATTTCTAAGTTTACACGGGGTGTTTGTACACGGGTCATATAAATATAATTTTTAATAGACTAATTTTTTGTTTTTTAATTTGAAATTGAATGCTACTGACATTATATTCTTTTACTTTTTATTCTTATTATATTACAGATAAATATATGTATTTTCACCTGCTCTGCAAGTTTACTTAAGGCATTAAAGAAGGTTTTGAATGCCGTTTTTAATATACTAATATGACCCGTGTTTAAACACCCCGTGTACAAATAGAAATTGCCATTTTTTTTTATTTATTAACCCTTTAAAAAGAAAAAATAGGGTTACATGAATGTTTTGTACGAGATAGAAAAATACCATTTTTATTATAAATTAAAAATTATAACTAATTTTTATGGATATGTTTAGCTATTAAAATGTTACATACTTTAAATAAAAAAGTTGCTTGTATGGACATGAAATGATTTAATAATTTAATTCGTAAATATATTTGATTTATTTAACGAAACCGTATTTAATACTATGCACTGATATCTTATAATATATAATAAAAAAAAAATAAAATAAAAAATACTAAATCATAATTTATGATAAAAAAAAAATCAGTTGTAACAATGTCGTTTAATTTATACAACATTTGTACCTAAACGTCTATAATATTAAATTGTAACAATTTAATTTAATAAAATTCAACATTTAATAATAAATTCTTATTCAGGAAGTTCCAATTCATCTTGCTCTTCTGAATGAAGATTCGGATTGTTATACGTATCATCTTCGTCTATCAAATATATAATGTGTTAAAATTAAAAAATCGAAAAAACAATTATTTTAGGAATTTAAATAATTTTTATCATACCATTATCGTTAATATGAAGTTTCTTTATTCGCTTTCGCATTGATTCAATCTTATAATAATCTAAATAGTAATAAATCATGTTTAATTAAAATATTATAATAATAAAACTAACATAATTTTAATTACTTTACTTGCCATTTTTTGAGCTTCTTTTAAATATATTGGATAACTTTTTGCTGTTAACTAGATAATCATAAATTTAAGTTATTCGTTTATTTCAAAATAAAATATACTGTATTATTTAATTACCTTTATATAAGCTACTTATTTTTGAAGTACTATTTTTCTTACTACTTAATTTATCAAAATCATCAACTAAAAAAGTAAAATAAGTCAATAAATAACGCTTCATTATACAATATTTAATTGTATTTACCATTATTCGGAATATGAAAATCATATGATTTATTACTATGAAACGCTATAAAAAATTAACAATGTTATCATTAATTTTTACAAATTAAAATTATATAAGAATTTATTTAATTTATACCTTCTTGTTCTTCTATTATAATATTTAAATTAAAAAAAAATAAACATTATTAATTAAATATATTAATAGACTATTTAAACAATTAATAAAAAGCAATAAATACCTTCTGTAGCATTTCTTGGTTCAGGAAGATTATCAAATTGATGAAGTTTACTTGTAAATAGTTTGCTACTGCTAGTATGATTTTCCATTTCAGAATTATTATTTTCTTCTGGTTGAGTTAATGATTCATTTGATTTACTTTGATAAAATAAATTAATTTCTCTCATTTTTTTCCGAAGTGTAATAATATCTGGTCTTTTTGATGGATCAGCATCCCAGCATTGTTTCATCAAATTTTTATATTCTAAAGGAGTTCCTGGTACAATTTTTGGTCTTATACCATTAACAATATTCATTGCAAGATCATAATCATGTTCACAATCAATAAATGGTGGTTGTCCTGATGAAACTTCCCACATAAGCATTGCAATACTATAAATATCAGATTCAAAAGTCTGCTCTTTTCCAATAATAACCTCAGGTGCTATATAAGGAAGATTTCCATATATACTATTTAATGGCTTATCTGCAGGTCCACAAAATCCAAGATCACTAATACTAAATTTATTTGTAAATAATATATTTCCAGAATGCAAATCTCTATGAATTGCATTTTCAGAATGAATTCTTTTAAGTGCAAGTGTTATATTGTCATGTGATCGTCATGTGCCACTCCGAAATTGATCGATGTTGCAAATGTTTAACTTGATTGACATGTCGGACATAATTAATATGCCGAACATGATTAACATGTCGAACCTAATCAACATGTTGGTTATGATCAACGTATTGAACATGTTAGTCATATTATACATAGTAAATATATTAAATTTCTTCTTATATGTATAATTTATTATAAATATAGGTCAATTTTCTTGTTGTAATAAAAAAGGGAAAAAATAAAGTTTTCATTTTTTTAAGTTATAAAGTGACAGTTTTTATCAAGTGAAATCCTTTATTCGTGTTTGGAGGTATATGCCGACGTACAGCGCTATACAACACGTCTGATCGGATAATTTTGATATATTGTTTAATATATTGTCTAATTATACACTAATTAACCTTCTGCTACCTAACCACATAAATTGCTTAATATTTTTAAGCGTAAAAGAACTGATACAACAAATTGGTGCCTTCTGCCAGAATTTCCGATCCCTACCTTTAATCCCCTTTTATGTTCCAAAACCATTTTGATCGTAATACTATACACGACGCTATACATAGACAGTTAGGGCTAGATAACGTAACCGCCTATCATCGTGACCTTTCGTGTAATAACTGATACCCATCAGAAATTCCCTTAACACCCACTTTTCAGCACTTTTTGGACTGGATTTCATCCAACTATCCAGTTGTAGAATACACCCGATACACTCAACAATATTTTGAAGAGGTTGCGTATTCGATTACTAACACAGATATCGATAACGCTATACATAACCTATTGTTCAGCATCCGATACGCTGATATAGAACAAACAATAGATTATACTCTATTGCGTCAGGACCTTATCAAAGCCTATAAACTAACTAACGGATTTCAACAGGACCCTAACGAAGTCCTTTATCAAGTTAGTGAAACTACCACCTCACCAGAACCTGAAGTTTTAAGTGACACCGAAACTGAAAATTCCGAGGAAGATATTCCCAGATTTCACATTCCATTACCACCTATATACGATACACCAAATAACCCAGCTCCAATAGCCCTACCGGTGATTAACATGGCACAACCTAACCAACAGGACTTTCAGCAATTACGCGCAGCAATTGCTGCATTGACCCAAGCATTACCTAACACCAACAATGCTTTGGCCGGAAACACACAGGCCATTGCCAACCCGCCTAGACGAGAAGGAAAGGTGGCTGAGTTGCCGTATTTTTATGGTGGCAACCAGGATCCGGTTGCATGGTTAGAGGATTTTACTAGATCCTGTAATGCAAATGGTATTGCAAATGTACGAAAATTGGAAGTCGTACCAGCATACCTAAAGGGAGCTGCTTCTACTTGGTGGAACGCCAATCAAGCATTACCAAATAATAATCCGAATAAGATTGTTGCGTGGACTGGCAACAATAATAATACGGATTTTATATTTAATTTCCCGGCTGCCTTCAGAACGCAAACCTTGATCGAAATCTGGACCACAGAATTGGAACAAAGGAGACAACAGCCCGGCGAAGACGTAAATACATACGCCGCTGCTCTCCAGGAATTGTATAGAAGGGTAGAGACTAACGCCTTCGCATATCCAGAAGCTATTAAAGCTCGTAAATTTGTTAACGGGTTGTTGCCTGACTTGTACGTCACCGTAAAGCCCCATAACGATCAGACTTGGAATGCCGCAGTAGACCGAGCGAAGGCCTATGAGTTAACTCATCAAGACCAACATGCGGTAAACGCCTATCTTAATAAATTCGCTCCTGCAGGCACTAGTACCCAAACGGAAGACCTATACAAAGCCATCCAGGATTTGACTAGACAGGTACAACAGTTGAGTACCGGAAGTAAGGGATACAGGGGAAATAATTATCGAAGTCCGCAGCAAGTGACGCCGCAGCCGCAACAATCGTTAAATAGAAGGATTGTTTGTTATTCTTGTGGACAGCCTGGGCATATAGTAAGGAATTGCCCTGATCGAAATAATAACAATACGACCTTAGTCGCAAACAATGGTGAAGGAAGATCTAATCCTCAACCAACTAGTGCGGGCAATTCCAATAATAATCAACTCGCCCAGATACAACAACTACTAGCCCAATTAGTCCCACAAGAAACTGATAAGGATCAGTCTTTAAACTAAAAGGCGTACCTCATGAGGGTGAGAGTACAAGCCAACATACAATTCCCTCGAATCTCACATTATTAGAAACTTATCCCGCCACTAGAACTACGAGGAGCAAGACCAGGTTAAATCCTCTGGAAGGAATAGCAAAGGATAAAACGGTCGAAGAGGACGAAGCTCAGATACGGGCTACACAGTTTTATCCGAAGAAGAAACAACCCGTAAAAACTGCGGAGTCCAGAAAAACGGTATTACAAAAGAATACCAAGAAAAAGCCCACCACTACCGCTCCTATCAATAAGATGGTTGAGCCTTATACTCCTCAACAGTTCTTTGATCAGGTAGCCAACATCACGAATGGACAACTTTTGGCGATGAATCCCAAGTTCGGTTTAACGGTAGCTAAGCAGCTAAGAAAACCGGTTATACGAAAAAAGGATGAGGATCCTGAGAAAATTCAAACCAGGAACACTGTAAATAACGAGACGCCAGAAGATGGAGGTATAGCGGAACTACAAGATTTGATGCAGGCGAACACATCAAGTGCTAGCAAGTCTTCCGCCTTGTATTGTGATGCTTCGATCAAACATATACAATTTCCGTTGATCTTGGATTCAGGATCAGCTGGTAGTATTATCTCCCTGTCTTTGTTAAAAGATCTAGATATGGAGATAACTAGAGCATCTAAAACGGTGATGGTAAACGTAAACGGAGAACGGCGAAGACCACTAGGAGCCGTATCCGATATTCCGTTAAAAATACACGATCAGATCATCCCTATGGACGCTATTGTGACTGATGCTGATTCTTACGCAGCAATAGTCGGTAATGACTGGTTGCGAAAAACTAAGGCCATCTTGGATTATGATAATGATACTATGACAATTAAATGGAAAGGTGATGTAATTAAAGTATCAACCGAATGTCGGGAGACGCCACATCACATCATCAGTATCGAAGTACCGGATATCGAACCCGATAAGGAACAAGATGAGGAGATAGATGATGAAGTTGTGGAAGATTCTGATGAAGAGTACGAGAGTGAAGACGAAGCCACTCAAGAACAGTTGTTTTGTCATACGCACTTCATCACTCAAAAGGAAGCCCAAGAAATCGAAGAAGGATTAAAAGGAACAACCTTGATCGAAAACGATTATTATTACCAGTATAAGGAAACTGAGATAGGAAATTTCCATACCGGAACTTTGGATGAGAACCAGCAACAGCAATTTCATGAATTCATGAAAAAATATAATAATCTGTTTGCGTGGAACTCAAACGATTTCGGTCGAACATCAGTGGTTACACACACTATCGATACCGGAGGTGCGATCCCTATCAAGCAAAGATTTTACCGGACATCACATCAGAATCAGTTGTTCATTAAAGAGGAAATACAACGACTCTTGGAGGCCGGTCTAATTGTGCCATCAAGTAGTCAATGGACTTCTCCCGTGGTTGTAGTAGAAAAAAAGAACGGGAAGAAGCGCCTTTGTGTGGACTATCGAAAGCTCAACAAGGTCACCAAAAAGGATTGTTATCCTTTACCACGAATAGACGATATGTTGGAAACGTTATCAGGATCTCGTTGGTTTTCGTCCTTAGACCTTGCTAGTGGCTTTTGGCAGGTCGAATTGGATCCAAAAGATCGAGAAAAATCAACGTTCATCACCAGGTTCGGGACGTATGAGTTTACAGTGATGCCTTTTGGCCTCTGTAACGCTCCCGCAACCTTTCAACGTCTAATGGATATGGTGTTACGAGACATCCTTTGGCAGTTCACTGTAGTATACATCGACGACATTAATGTAGGATCAAAAACCTTCGAAGAGCATTTGGCACATCTGGAACAGGTTTTCTCACGTCTAGAGAAGGCCGGTTTAAAATTAAGTCCTGAGAAGTGTTTCTTTTTTAAAAAAGAACTTCCTTTCCTAGGACATGTGGTGGGCCGAAAAGGCATCCATACCGATCCTGAAAAATTATGAACCATCAACGAATTTCCCATTCCGAAAGATTTGACGCAATTGAGAGGATTCATTGCGCTGGCCTCGTATTACCGAAAGTTCGTGAAGAACTTCTCGTCTATCGTTGAACCGTTGAATAGGTTATTAAAGAAAAACATCCCGTATATTTGGGATAAAGATCAACAAGCCGCGTTTGAAAGATTAAAGACTTGTTTAACAACGCCACCTATATTGGCGTATCCTAACTTCGAAAAGTCATTTTTATTATATACCGACGCCTCTACTTTTGCGTTGGGCGCAATATTATCCCAAAAGGATGACGATAAAAAAGAACGTGTTATTGCTTATGCGAGCCGGACTCTAAATAAGCATGAACGGAATTATAGTGTTACGGAATTGGAGTGTCTTGCGGTTATTTGGGCCGTCAAGCACTTCCATCATTATTTGCATGGACAACGATTTACCGTTGTAACTGATCACGCCGCTTTAAGATATTTAATGAATATGTCAAACCCTGTTGGTAAGCTTGGAAGATGGTTGATGACTCTTAACGGATATGATTTGGAAATAATTAATCGCCCCGGAAAACAACACACCAACGTCGATACACTAAGCCGAATAAGAGTTTAACACAACACATATATTACTTTTTTTTTTATATACACCGGATTAACGCCTTTATTGACACCTCTTTACGGATTTCCCATTATTGACTTAATGGAATGGATACCACCACATATTATTCACTAATACGATTTTTGACGGACTTATCATTACCAACAGACATGACGAAAAAGCAACAAGATGCAATAAGACGAAAAGCTCGATACTTTATTGTATTGAATGATCAGTTATACAAAAGAAATAAAAACAACCCAAATAGACCTATTAAGGTTGTGAAAGAAAATGAAATTAGAGAAATTTTATATTTTACCCATTCGGATCCGCTGGCCGGACATTTTTCCTTGGACGAAACCTATAGGCGAGTAAAGGTTCGCTATTACTGGCCGCAGATGTACGAAGATGTTCGTAGATATGTACGAACTTGCGACGAGTGCCAAAGAAGGGGGAAAAATCGACGTGTAGAACCTCTACACCCGATCAAAGTTGGAATGCCTTTTGACAGGATAGGCATAGATATCGTAGGACCCCTTCCCACAACAAAGAAAGGCAACAAGTATATAGTTGTTGCCACTGAATATCTTACCAAATGGCCCGAGGCACGAGCCCTTCCTGATGCAAAAGCTTCTTC